GCAGGATGGAGAAGGTTAGAGAGAGGTATCTGGTGGGCTAAACAGAAAATAGCCGGTGTAATTAGCCACTCAGTCCTGTGGACAGAGCTTATATTCTACTGTTCGCCACAGTACCCAACATTATCTATTATGCCCTACACTACAGCTAAATATCATTACCCATTTATCATCATGCTGGCACTATGGTGTTTCTTATAGGAAAGAACCACTTCTCTACTAATGTCTCTGTCGAAAGTGAGAAAAGATAGAAGACTGAATCCTTCGAGAAAACTGAGAAAGTATATATATGTAAATATACATAAATATTTATTTATTTAATATATGCACTTTATATATGTATTCAAATTATGTATGAATTCAAATAAATATATATTATATAAGTATATATTAATATATACATATTTTTCTTGTAAAAATATTACTATGTGTTTAATATGTAAACAAAATATATCTTAATGTTTACATCTCTCCCTATTTTCCTATATCTGTAGCTATAGTTATATCTATATTCTATATCTATTTCTGTATCTGTATCTGTATTTGTATCTATATCTATACTTATATCTATTTCTATATTTATATGATGAATTTCTCTCTACAGTGTAGTCGCAGGAAATATCAAATGTAAAATGATGTTTCACACTGTAAACTAATACTCAGATGTAGATATTGAATTTATTTATTATTATTTTATTTTTGTTGTGTTTAATCTTAAATTCTTTTATATAATCTCAATGATGAGCTGGCTATTAACTGGGACTAAGAGTAAATTTGCCACCGTTGACGTAATGCTCCTCTCAATAGGATTCCATTGCACTGACATGTTCAAAGTGTGTAATAGCAAACTAGCAAGCAAGGTGATGATAAAGATAGTTAATATGTATCAGATGCTGCACTAAGTGCCTAAATACATACCACCCTGTAAAGTAGGTACTTTCATATTTTACAAATGAAGATCCTGAGTCTTAGCAAAGTTTAGATTCTTGTTTAAGGTCACATAACTTAGTTGGTAATCTTAAACAGGAGGCAGAAGAAATTATGTAACAGTCACTGAAATGAACCCTTAAAAATGTGGCATAATTGTGACAATATAGGCAGCATCAGCAAGTATATTAAAATTAGTCATAATACTAATAATAAGTGGTAATATTTGAGACCTTATGATGTTTCCAGAACAATGGTTAACATTTCACAGATGTAATAAAAAATAAATTGTTAAAGAAAAAATTGTAATTTATAGTTGATTTCTGACCAACCCTCTATCTTTTTGAGAAATTTAGATCTTTGATTATCCCTCTTATGTTTTTATCTTTCCTTCTCAGCTAGATCATTCTCATTAACTTTTGAATAAGCTCAAGTCTTTTTTTAGAAAACAAGAAATTTCTCAAAACAACAACAACAAAAATTTTTTAACCTCTACAGCACCTGTTATTCCTAGATGGTCTCCCATCCAAGTACTAACCAGGTCCGGCCCTGCTTAGCTTCCGAGTCTCAAAACAAAATTAAAAAAAAATTTTCTTTATTTTTCTATCTGGCTATCACTAATATTATGCTTCTCATGTTTCTCATTTTCTCATTTTTATATCATGTTTCTCATTTTTATGGTAGAATTTCTAGAAAGAGGTGTCCATAGAAAAATGTCTGTCTCATTTTTCTAACCTCTCATTTACCTCTTAATCCGTTTGTGGACGTGGACTGCCGGACCTTCTTCTAGGAAAAAGGGAATTGCTGCGTGCAGCTGAACCCCCTGCTGAGGGGAGTTTGGTCTGTAGACCACCCTGAGCTTCCTGCTCCTTCAGAGTATGCCTTAGCTTCGGTCATCTGGCACAAGTTCATACCCTTCCCAGGGTGGCCCACATATGGTGACGAGCGAGGTGGGGGTAAAAAGGCTGGCCATTTTGTCCTAAAGGGAGATAACTGTGAAGAGTAGCTTTTACTCCCAAGGTTCTCATTTGGTTGGATAAAGATGTTTAGAGGCTAAGCACTAAACTTGTATTAGAGTTAATTAAAAATTGACTCAAAAATTCCTTACCCAGAAAAGTAGCCAGTAGGGTTAATATAAATATGGAAAACAGTAGATTATAGATAAGTGTCATTTGAGCCTTTGGATACTACAGCATAATCTTCTACAGTAACTGGTTTTCCTCTCCATTCTCCTTCTCCTTCTCCTTCTCCTTCTCCTTCCTTGTATTAGAGTTAATTAAAAATTGACTCAAAAATTCCTTACCCAGAAAAGTAGCCAGTAGGGTTAATATAAATATGGAAAACAGTAGATTATAGATAAGTGTCATTTGAGCCTTTGGATACTACAGCATAATCTTCTTCAGTAACTGGTTTTCCTCTCCATTCTTCTTCTCCTTCTCCTTCTTCTTCTTCTTCTTCTTCTTCTTCTTGCTATTTGCAGAATCCTATCACATTGTGGTTAGATTTCAATAAGGACTATTTAAGAACAATGACAACAAAATTCCTTCCCCAGAGATTTTGATTCAGTTGATTCGTGGAGGAAAATGTGTGTATTTCTACAAACAAACTCTCAGCTGTACTGTGTTTGGTTTGGATCCTCTGGAAAGCACACACCAAGATGGAGTGAACATGCAATAATTTTTATTTCTAAGAGAAATACAGAAATAGGAAGGGAGCTGGGGAAGGCTGGGGGAGCTATCACAGAGCAATGTAAGTCTGACCACAGCGATGGAGGAATGGTTGGATAACGGTGTCTCAGAATACTATGCAGGGTAAGAAAGGTTTAGCAAGGCTATTGGGGAGTCCTCAAACCAAAGCCTATGACCTGAGGGCTTCTGTATTTTTCAGGAACAGGCCTACTATTTCTAGTCATTGGCTACACAGGAGTAGTCTGTGGGCAGCCTGGCATTGGCACAACTGTGGTGATGGATTTCAGAGTGCAGAAGATGGTGCGTTTGGTCAATTAAGCTCCCCATGTTGCACATTCCTCTGATTGCCACATGTACCCCACAATTTTAAGACAATGGGGTGAGAAAAGGAAGATAGAAATCGGCTATAGTAGGAGAGGTATTTGAATTCAGAGCAAAGTTTCCTGTTGTTTTTCGAATGAGAAAGACCAGTATATTTGTAAAGCTGGAAGGAGTTAAAGATAAAGAAGAGAAAAGAAGGGAAGGAAAGATGAATTGGGAGGGTGTGTGCTTGTGTGTGTGTGTGTGTGTGTGTATGTATGAGAGAGAGAGAGAGAGAAAGTGAGAGACTTGAGGTGTAATGACCTGAAAAGGGGATTTAATTGATACTTCAATTTGTCACATTGTGAAAGAGAAAGGGAAAAAGAAAGAGAATGAATTAATTGTCATGGCTTTGAATCTGAGGAGTGACATAATCTGGGATAGTGTCTGAATGTGGGTTAAGGTTGAATGTTGTTGGTGGAAGTTGAAGGAAATTACACTTGGTTATCTCAATTTCTACCACAAAATAGGAAGGCAAAGTATCAAGGGTACTGATGGAAGGTTTGGTCTTAAATAGGAGGTACCCCATCCTCTGAGGCTGAAACAAAAAGTGGTAATGAAGGACTTAGTAAAGGATTCTTATAAATGTGGCATCAAGTTACGGGAGAGAAAGACAGATGACCTTGATTTCTTGATGAAGTCAGAGGCAAACTTATCTGCTGAAGGTATTTTTTATTTGTTGGCCTTCTTACATGACAAAATTTCATACATAAAACTATAACAAAATAATATTTAGCATATTAAAATTAATATTTCAAATATTTATTTTCTATTAAGATAATTATCTAGTACATAAATCTTTTATAGGCATGTGTGTCTGTTTCTTGGTGTATAAACCAAAACTCTAAAATAGTCTCTTGTTCTAATTTGGAATTTTAAAAACTGATACTCTATCGAATTTATACTATTCTCAACCAGGAAGAAAAACTGGAAATATAACTGGAAATATACTTTTAGTATATTGTATATTTGTTACCAAATAAACAAACAAAAAACATTTTGGCCCATGTAATTTTATCTGGTATTAAAACAAATTCATCATCTGAGCATATACTGGTTTCCCTATCCAAAAGTAGACACCAAAGTACTTCATAATTGCTGGGGGGTCTTTGAGATCAGTGGATTCTAATCTGGCGGTCCTCAGACATCCAGAATCTACAAATTGAGCAATAGAAGTTGATGATCTATTTTCAAATTTCCATACATCTAACGGAAATCTCACTTACCCATATGAAAGCTTTTAGTTCCTTCACAATTATTTAAAATTATTTCACTTCGGTGGGGCCACTCTTCAGAAGCTATATTCTTGAGTATTAGGGTTTTGCATTTTGTATCATGGTGTTTAGTGTTCTTAGCATTTGGGACCCAAATGCTTCACATTTTGTTTTTGGGTTGCTTTGGGAAAGTGAATGTATGAATAGAAACATCCTAACACAAACACTAGGGTTTATTAATTTGTACTCCCTCTGCTGGTCAACTTTCCAGTAAAGTGGTTTAAAAAAAGGTTCCATAGAGGTAATTGAAAAACGAAAACAGAAACAAAAACCTTTTTGAAAGTCTTCGCAGTGAAGAAGAGACATACAAGGCTGATTTTAAAGTCCAAATTCCATTTTGCATAATTTTAGGGTAGTCCTCATTGATTTCTACTCTAGTTACACTAGCACTTTAAACAGAATACAGATTTATACTGTTAGCATATGAATCTCCAAAAAGAAAACTTATTTTAGGCTCTTCTACAGTGTCAATCACAAATGTGCATACCAAAATGCGTACATCTTATCAAATAACACATATTCACAATTAACAGGAATAAATTTTATAAAAAATTTCTGCTACTACTATAATTTTCAAAAACATTTAACCCGCCAGCAAGAGATAAGACAGTTCAGCCTTTTTAAAGACATAATTTGAATAGAGAATATAAGATGTAATCACAATTAGAGATGCAAATAATAGTTTTCTTCTTGTGGAATGTTTTAAAATTTCCTTTTTTATATTTCCTTATTGTTCTTCCTTATATTTCCTTAGACAACACAATCATTTCTTCTCAAATTATTTTTTTTTGAAAGGGCAGTTGTCTGTAGATGGTCTAACAGAAGCGCCTTCGTAATTGTAGCTGAGGCAGAAATAGGATACTTGATAGTTCTTACATCGCATTGATGCAGTCTTCCAAAATGTCAATTTAGTAGAGAGATCATTTTCTAAGTCCAAAATTTCAAAACTTTATAAAGATAATCAAAATTTTATAACAGATGATAATAAGTAGTTTTGTGCACTCATTTTCTATGGTACCCAATGACACATGCCAACTAAAACCCAGACTTCATAATGGCATCAAATGAACGTAGCAGAATGATCAAAGCTGAGAGCTAGTCATTGTCATAGATGCAGCCTGAAAGAAAAGAATATGTATTTAAATATAGTTATACAAAACACATACCCTCTAAATGGTCCAAGGTTGGAAATATGAGTGATTCATATTCTCCTGGTTTAGGATTTTAAAAAGTAGAATTGGCTCACTTTATGAAAAAGTAGATTATGTGGAAGGCGACATATTTATTTAACTTTTATTGCTCAGTATGCAATTCCAACAAAATTTCTGAATAAATTTACTCTCTATCAAAATGATAGAGATTTTATTTTATTTGGCACTTAATTAAATGTACTTTTTGGTCATCATTCTTAGTGAGGTTGAGCTGAAAGTATAAAAGGAAACTAAAGGGCAACATGATTAATATTATGCCTCATGTCAATTGACATTAATTTTTTAGATTATAATTTAGAAATACATGATGCTTAGAGAATATTAGTGAGTATTACAAGTTATAAAATAAGTACCAACTTATTGGCCAAGTACAGATTTTTTTGTGGATAAAAGTAATTCTTATTAAGATTCATAGTACAATCAAAATTCACCAAATATTTTCATATTTGTTTTCAAAGAAAATAAGAGATTCTTTTTTGATTTCTAGTCATGTGCAAAAATTAATTATTTCTCATTATACCAGTGCATTTATCTTTCCTAACATTTTCAAGTGATTCAAATTCTGATCAGATTGGAAGGCTCTAATTAACCAGCAAGCTATTTTTAATATTTGTAAGAACAGTAAATTCACTGTTCCTGTCCTCTGTGGTGGGTGTCAGGGAGACTTACCATCAGCAATGTCATCATAGATTTCTCCATCACTGTAAATGTAGAAAATAGTTTTTATTTTAAAGAAAATATCTTCTTAACATTTAAGCATATTTAGATTAAAAGCTTAGTAATATAATTTTATATGACAATTAAAGCATTTAAGAGTGAGAAGTTATGTGTTATGAACTCATAAGTTAAAGAAATTTCATATTCATTTACATCTCCTTTCATCGGCTTAATCTAACCATCTATTTCATTCTCAAAACAACAACAAAAACCAACCTACGACTTATTCCTGATTACCATAGATATAGAATACTGCAAACATGTCTCTAGAACACAGACCATATACCTCATTCATCTTTTCACTTGTGAGCCTAGAGCACAGCTGAGCTTGGTGAGAAGTGTTAGTTGAATTAAACAAACTGGGAAATCATGGCGTAATACTCCATTGGGAGCTCTAATCCAAACTGTAACAGATTCTTTATATCTGTTAATATCTGACTTATACTTTCACTTGAACTTCAGATTTTGAATGAAATACAATAATATCTATATGACATAGGAAATGGGCACATCAGTTTTGCATGTTCTTAATTATGTAAATATTAGTTATAAAATAAGTAGCCGAGATATGTTTAGTGTGGTGATTCTTATGTTATATAATCCTAAAAATATTTGTGGTTATAGGAAGTATTAATAATAATAGTTTTGGCTATTTTTACACATTTTAGGTTTTACCTGGCCCTGAAACTTTGTGAAATATTCCATTCTACATACATACTGAGTGACTCTTATGTACCAGGAGACCAAGAGATATAAATGGGAGAAAGACACAAGTTTTGATTTCGAGAAATTTATAATCTAATGAAAGAGAAAATGCTATACACGTAATTAAAATGGAAAGTGTTATAAATATTAATATAGCTTTGAAATGTAGAATACAGTTTCAAAGTCTAAAAAATGTAAGATGACTTTGTCACTTCGATCAGATCCACTTTTGTTTCCTGTGCTTTCTTTGTGCTTCATCATGGAAGGAGCACCAGGCCCTTCAAATTGCTGCCAATTATGGCAGATACTGTGAGTTCCCTATGTCTTCTGTTTGGATCCTTTCTCTGAGACTGAGGGAGGGTTGGCTAATGGAAATCTGATAGAAATGCAAAGAGGATAGATTTTGCTATCGTATATTCAATAAATATTTATGAAGTATTCACTTTAATAGGTGGTGAACCAATAATTAGAGAGTACACTTTCTAAATTCTCTCTTAATCATCCTTAATAATCACTGATGAAGATGTTGTCCTTTTATTTGCCACACATTCTTTCCTTGATATTTGTGTCTTTCGTAGAATAGAACCTATTGAAAAGTCGCATGCCTACCACCATGATTAATGCTCTGAGGACGATGAAAGTATTATGATTATTTTGCTTCTGACTCAATGCTAGTTTGCAGACAGAGTACTTAACATGGATATGTCTCTTTCTCATTGGTGTCAGGTTGTTTATGGATACACTTTGTGAATCCTCCTTGATTTTTTTTTTATTATGCTAAATTCTGTAAATATTTGTATTAGTATATGACCTAACCTGATGATGGAGTTTAGTTCTTGCACTGGTTTACTTAGAACAGAATCTTAAAATGTTTTGGGGGCTCTAATAGCACACTAGTACCAGACTGTGACAATGTCTTATTTATAGGAATAGAAGAATCATTGATTACTATCTTTTTTCTGGCATGCGTCCAAGAAAAGGCAACTTAATACTTTACTATGCTTGGTGTGAATAAAGAAAAGCCCTAGATTAGGGGCCAAACTATAAACCATTAACAGAAGATGTTAACACCTACTGTGTAGACACTAATGGGTCCCTGATTAATTCAATTCAACCAATGGCTTTAATCAGCAAATGAAATGCAAAATATTAATGTAAGTGTTAGTGACTTTGACCTCTCTGTCTCCAATGCTTGCAATGTCTGTCTCTAATGAATATATAAAACTATGAAATATATTATCATGAATGAGAAGGGCTTCTTGTCTGTTTAAAAGAGTGACACTTTATGAAAACCTAAACTTTATTATGCGTGCTATTGTATTGACATTAGTATAGGATATTGTTTTAAAATTTGTTTATGATAGTTCACTAGATTATATTACTTCAACGATATTAAGAATCTTTCTCAAAGCAAAACATAAAATTCTTTTTTTACAGATAACTGTAGAAGAAAATGGGCTTACTTGTCCGCCAAGTTACTCCGAAGGACATAACCATCTATGAAAGAAAAAGGAAATAAACTTTATTAATAGTACAGACTTGAAAAAACTTTGCTACTTCTTTTTTAAAAAATGAAATAGAATTGAGTAATTAATATAATATGATATAATATGTTGAATAATTGTATCTTTCTATTCAAATATGACCCATTTTCTTATGCGTCCACTTTTCTCTCCTTCCTTTCTTCTTTTTCTCTTCAACTTTTCTCTCTTCCATGTCTCTTTCCCACCATTTACAATCTTTTCTCCTTTCCCCCTTAAATGAAAAAAAATTTTTTTTCTTCCCTAAGTTCCTGTAATTTGCTGCATAGGTTTCTTTCAAATTTTAATCTATTTCTTCAAGGTTGTTAACCCATGTGGGCCAATGTTAGGAAGAATTTATTAAGCATAGTTTCTCCAATTACAAAAGTAGTTCATAGGTAGGCAATCTAGAAGCTACTTGGGGAGAGTATACATTCTAAATGGTCTCTAAACAGTTCTTTTATATTCAGAACTGTGGAAGATCTTTCTCAACTGCTTTTGCCATTTGACAGAGTGTCAATATTTGCATTTTCATCTTTCATGGAACGAATCATTATTAGAAGAACACATACCAGGAATTCTAGTGATTCCCCAGTTAAGTAGAAAATGGACCGTGTTTTATGCAAGAAAGCAAAAAAATTTTTTGAGCACTTTATGTTTGCCTTTCATAGCACAAAATACTCTTAAGAAAAAATGTGTACTATTTTTTTTGAGAAAATGTCTGCGAACAGCTAATTAATATTATTACTAACCCTTGGAATTATTAGTTTCGTGTTACTGCCTAAACTGTTGTATGCTTGAAATTAGTACCATTGCTGTTCTGTTAATACAACCTTTTATTTATTTATTTATTTTAATAAAGCTTTAAATCACTTCTTTCACTGAGTAAATGAATCTATTGGTCTTGGTCAACTCTAGATGTAATTTCAGTTCTAAATCAGAGTAAATGTGTAAAAAGTTATAAAACAAGACACTCATAAGCAAAGATTAATACAAATGATAATAAACTTATTTAAATATATTGAATTCATATTGCTATTTCATGATTTTACATGAAAAAACATTTTTTTAAAAAGTTAGGATCATACAACTGAATTTGTAGATTAAAATGTAAGAAAGTGAACTTTCTTTTGAAATATTCTAGAGTAAAAAAAGTCACCAAAATATTTTATCAAGAAATTCATTATATTTAGATAAAAACTGTTTATAAGAATCATACTTGGAAAGGAAAGAATCAAGGTTATCTTTGAATTCCTGGAGCATGGAAGTAATGAAGCATGTTTCAAAATGATAAAAGCACAATAAAGTAATATTTTACTCAGAGTATGAAAAATTAGACCATTTTATACATTCTTTTTGTCAAAGAAAAAGTAGCAAAAATTATTAATGTAAGAACATCTAAAATTAATATATATGATCCTTGGGTAGCCTTTGATATCACAGTTCTTTCATTCATTTCATGTTAACAGACTTTAAAAATTAAGGTATGCATCATATTTTAACATAATTTTAAAAGATGATAAGCTCATCTCTTACAATTTCAATTCTACATGTGTCTCTCAAAAAAGATAACAAGTGATTAGAACAAATTGTGGATTTAGTGTCAGATTCCAATAACTGAAATCTATCTTTACCTGTACTTATGTCTGTGAGCTAAAATACAATGTGAATAGTTCTCTACAGATAGTAATAGTTACAAAGTTTTTTCCATTAGTTAAAATTGATGGTTCTGTTTCCATTTTGAATTTTCTCTTAAAATAAATTGGAAAATAATACAATAGTAAGTGTTACCATGATATATTCATATTTCAAGTTAAAAATTTAAAAATAACGACACATATAAACTGAAGCTTTTAACAATGACTTCAATCTCATTGTGAGATATTGGGGCTTCATAAAGTCTCTGAACTAAAATTAGAAGATAGAAAATTAGAGAAATGTATAAGAAATTATAAAGTGTTGTCAGAGATTTGAATTATTCTGGCATCAAATATTTTTCTTTTTCTTTTTTTAATCTAGTAGATTAAGAGAAATAATGATAAAAACAAAGAGAATATAATCATTTTTGAAAATTAAATGGTTTTATTTTTTGTGCTTTTGGGTAATCTACTTTTAAAAACTCAATAATGCTAAAATTGTAGACTTGGATAAAACACTATCTGTAATTAAGCACTAAAACATTCCTTTACATGACTAAAGTTAATAATTCCTGACAGACAGCTTATCTAACTTCACAAAGTTAATTACAAAAAATATATTCTTTTAAATCCTCAAACCCCTATTACATTTCCTCTTATATCTTGTCTGTTCAAGAGTTCTAAGGAATAACTTTCTCTTTTGTTGAATACTTCACTGTTATTGTGTATATGTGTGACACATAAACATCAATGCTTGTGAATATTATTTAAGAAAAATGTATCAAGGTAATGGAGTGTGGGATGGTACTGTGCTGCTCTATTTTAGTTTCCTAAAATGATGTGATAATTTGGGGCTCATTAGCTATAAAATTACTATTAAATAGCATTTTTACAGGGTTGATGACTTTTAATACAGCATAGGTTTTGCTGTCTAGTACCTTCAAAAATCTTTGCTAAAATTTAATTCTGTTAAAGTATGATTCATGACAGTGTCAAAACAAGTGACTTACCATAAGATTTTATATAATCTCTTCATTATAGTTCCTAGAGATAACTTTTTTTTTTTTTTTTCAGTATAAAAATGCTCTCTTTGCTCACAGGTACATCCACCATAAGGGAATATCAATAAAACATACAAACAAATGAAATAAATAAAAAATACCTCATGGTTTTTTACCATGTAGAATGGCCACCATGTTCAATTAGCCTTAAGAAATTATTATTTGGAAACCTCACATTCATAGAACAGAACACCGTGGCTTGAAAGAAATGTTTTGAAATATGTGGTGGGGTAGAGCTAGTTAAGAAACTAACACCCACCCCCCATATGTGTCAGTTAATTTCTTTCCAAAACATTTGCTTGCTACAGTGCACATGTGTCCCAGGACTAATGACTCACCTTTCACAGGGGTGTTGTGAATATGAAATTACCCAGGAAATACAAAATCATCTTTTGAAAAATGGAAAATATATTCATTCTAATATTTTCAATTTTTTTCTCAATAGAAATGACAGCTTTTATTTTTATTTCATTTTTATTTCATTTGTTGTGAGCAAGTCCAGAAATAAAGTTAAATTTACTCAATTTGGCCTCATGTAGTTTAAGGACAATAAAATCATATTGCATAGTTTTATCCAGGCAAATGGAACAATGTTCAGTTTTAAGAGAAAATTCTCATAATATAATAGAAAGAAAACCAAAATGCAGTGTATAACATTGAATATAAATTATTATAATTATTGAGTTTTATAAAATGTCATCTATATATGTATAAATATATATGTATATACACTTATTTCTCTATGTGAATATATATAACATTTCTCTATATATTCTCTATGTGTATATGTATCCTCTATATACATCTATAAATATAAATATATGTGCATATATATCTCTATGTATGTATATTTCTGAGGCTTCAAATCAGGATTTTTCAAATTTCTGAATTAAAAAAAAATTTCTTCAGAGAGCATGTGCTGTTTTATAATTGAAAACAAAATCACTGAAGCAAAGAAATGATTAATTGGATTTAGAAAAATCCAAAGCACCTATAGAATTTCTCTTTCTTTGATGCCCAAAGGAAATGGAAAACATTTTATCCACAAATAACTCAGCTCATGTCTCATTTCATATTTTTTGTAGAAAAATTTTCTCCAGTGACAGGAGGTGGGAAAACTTACAGTTTATGAGAAATTGAGTTGTGGAATACATTCAAATATTAGGGAGAAATTCCAAGTATTTGGGAATGTGCCAGGAATATATATTTTAAGATCTCAATGCCTCTGCAATACGCGCCTCACCCAGATCAGTGGGTGAGACTTGATCAAATGCGATAAGCCTGTAAAAGTGGCTTTACTCCACTCCACAATGGGAAGGGATTATTGTTAATGCTTTAGCTTCTAGTTTCTACCATTACCAACCTTAGGTTTAAGTAAGTTATGTTTTCTTTTCTTTGATGGATTAAAGAAGAATGGAGAGTAAAGAAAATGTTTCAGTCACCATGGTGTTGGTTTGCAAATGCCTTATAGAAATAAGGAACTGAAAGATTTAGTCTCCCAAATGATACACAATAAGTGAACCAAATTACTAAGGCTAAGACAGAGAACTTCTGTTTTCTAACCAGTTAAACTATTCAACAGATATTTTGCTGTGTCTATATGTCAGACTTTCATCTGGTTATTCAACTGCAATCTCCAAATTGTCAAATTCAATTCAGCAAGCCCTAAACAAGGCGCCAGGCACTGTAGAATGTGTTGGCACAATAATGTTGAGAACATTTCATTGAAGCTACTCTCAAGTTCAGAATCTAATAAGAATAATAGGTTGGAAAAACAATAAGGATGATTACAGCAATGGAAATAGTAGCATGGTGGAGCAGGGGAGATATTAATTGTGATGGGCAGCTGGGGAGTAGGGAGTGGGTGTGCTTCCAATTTTAGATGACAACTGGGTTGTTTTAATAGACAATTGTGGGCATTCCAAGTAGAATAAAATAACATAGGATGAAATAGTGTAATTTATTAAGGAAATGACAAGTAAGTAGTTTGTAATTCTGGAGTGTCAGCTGCAGATGGGAAATAGTTGATGAGATTAAGATCCACTGATTCCTAGGAAGAAAGGAGTCGCCTCCGAATTTCTGTTTCTGGTGCTATGTCTATTCCTGTTCATTTATATCTATATCCATACATGTTTATTGCTGAGGACATCTACAGTTTTGTTACTCAGAGCCTGTTCCATGGACCAGCGGCATCAATTACTGAGAGCTTGATACAATGCAGAATGTTATGCCTCACTTCAAACCTACTGAATTAGAATCCGCATATTTAAAAGTCTCCATGTATAGACCTTGAGATAATCATGCTAAGCAAAATAGGCCAGACAGAAAAAGTTGAAAACCACATGATATCACTTATCTGTGGGAGATAAACCTAAAAGCAACAAACAAACAGGACAAATAGAGATTCATGGACATGAAAAGTAGACTAGTGGTTACCAGAGGGTAGGAGGGAGTGGGGGAGAGGAACGTAGATGAGGTAAAAGGGGTCAAATATATGGTGTGGTGACAGAAAGAAATCTAACTATGGGTGGTGAATACACAATGCAATATATATATATATAAATATGCCTTACTGTTGAATTGTACACTTGAAACTTAGTGAATTTTGTTAACCAATGTTGCCATAATAAAAAATTTTTTTCAGAAGAAAATAAATAGATCGATCAATCAATCAATCAAAAGTCTCTGTGTGATGGGTATGCTCTTTGGAACTGAGGAGCATTGCTCTAGATGGGATTTATTGCTAGGGACAGGTGTCTCAGAACTGCATGGCAAGATATGTCTGAAGCTTGTGCACTGGAGTCATGTCCACATGACAAATACTAGGACAATTTTCTGCTGTGAAAAATGTGAAATAATTTGAAAAGTAAAAGAAAGAAAACATTTTACTTGGGCCAACACCCTAATCAATTACTATTAGTTTAGTTTGATTTTTTATTTATATAATTTTAATATGTTAATTCTATAGCATGAAATAAAACAAGCTATGATCCCCCCCCCAAAAAAGCTTACACAAAAAATATCATTGCCTGACGTTTACAATCTTTAAATTACAGGTCAAAAGAGCTTTGTGTTATTTTTGTTGTTTTAAAATACACAGTGAAGACTGTCTAGAAGCAAGGCCACTGTTCGTTCTGCAGAGACAACGACCTTGTCTAAGAGAACTGTGCTACTATTCCTTTAGAATTATGACTAGCTCAGTGCCCACACTGATACCAGGGACACTGGCCTCGGGTTCCAGAGGGTGGAGTTTGAGGCAGTATATAATTTTTAAAATGCCTGTAAATCCTGTCCCACATGAAGCAGATCCTTCTTTCTTTTACTCTTGAATATTTCCTCATGTTATTATCATAATCATCATGGAAAATATTCAATTTGGCATATTGTCCTAAGTTGTTTAATAATTTTAAAATTCTGAACATTTTTAATGTTTTTGATGAACTTTTAAGGTATATAGTTTTTCCGCATTGAAGGTTATTCCTTAGGGTACATCCTCTCAAATGCTTGTCTAAAAGGGGCTTTTCTTTGTCTCTCAGAGCTCTATCTACACATTATCTCCAGTGAACTTTGAGTCTTAATACTACACTTCCCCTGCCTTTTATCCTTTGTAACCACATTCCATTTTCTCCTTTAAAATGCCAAACATACCTCCTCCATGATAACTTTAGGTCTATTTTCCCCATTCTTGAGTCATCGTGTTTTGTTCTTAAAGCTCCATTTCAGTTCCTGTCCCTGAGTCACCTTCCTGTCATTAAAATTTGACTCAGAGTTTATGTTTTCTACTCAGACTAACCTAGCTGATATGGTGCAGTCATGCTGGCTGTCCAATTTTAAATAGAGGACAACACAATTTTGAATTACTCTTCCCTGAACTTTAAATGAAATAAGCTTCCTTTTAAAATGTAACAAAAGCATTTCTGTCTGCTTTAATAGCTGATAGAGTCAAAGAGGACAGGGACTCATATTCATGTGAAATAGTATGTCATATTAAGCATGTCCAAATAGAAAATAAAAATGAGTGAATTTGCAAGGTAGGAAAACTGGAAATTCTCGGTGTGACATATGCTATATAATTTCAGAACCAGTGTACATAAGAATAAACTAGGTTTAAAGTTTTGATTGCAGATTCCATTTGACCCCCAAGAGCTTATGACTCTGTAAGTCAAGGGTGGATCCAGGCAACTGTAATTTTAAGACACACACAAGGATCTTCTGATGCTGGGGGTCTGTGGGACTACATTTTGAGAAGCACTAATTTGGCACTACCTTGACTCCTCAGTGCCAAATATAGCAGGTGAGAAATGAAAAGAGATGAAAATAAAATGCATTGATTTCAACACAGCAAAATCTCTAGTTTCATAATGTTTTTCAGAATTCACAAAGCACAGAACAAGAAGAGTTAATAAATGATCCCTGATACTTATTTGATTGTTAAATTCTGGAGGGCCATATCTATGTAGAGTAAGCAGTGACTTACATTTTCCTTCTTCATTCCTGCAGAGAACTTTTGTATCATCTGTGTTTTGTATAACTTCAAGAGATTCACCAGGCTTTACCTGCAGATCTCTGTTCCCCCACTTTTTAGAAGTTAAGGAGGGCACAATTGTAGTTGTATATAGGACTCTAATTTCACCATCATACTGCCAAGAAAAAAAATACATTATTGATGAGTGTTGTGGAAGTAATTCATTTATTCACAGATTTATTAAGAAAGACTTTGCTAAATAAATAGTTCCTTGTTTGCAAAAGATAATGTAAGAATACTAAAGAAACATTTTTGGGGGGAGAAAACCACATATAACGTTATCAACCTAATATAATAACTATTTTTAAAATTTAAAGAAATTTAAGTTTAAGGTCTACATTTATTGCTTTGATACACTCATATATAATGAAATTATTACCACTGTATTCAGCTAATACCTCTATCACCTCACATAATTACCATTTCTTTTTTGTGGTGAGAGCATTTAAGATTTACTCACTCAGCAACTTGCTATAGTATTGCTAACTATAATTACCATGCTGTACATTAAATCTCTAAAACTTGTTCATTTTATAACAGAAAATTTGTAACCTTTGACCAACATCTCTCCATTTCTTCCACCCCTCCTCCAGCCTCTGTTAAACTTCCATTATCCTCTATGTTTTTATGAGTTTGGCTTTTTTAGATTCCACATTTAGGTGCTATCTTATAGTAGTCATCTTCCTCTGTCTGACTTTTTTCACTTAGCGTAATGCCTATTAGGTTGATCCACATTGTCACAAATGGCAAAATTTTCTTCTTTTGTCATGGCTGAATAATATTCCATTGTATAGATACACCACAGCTATTTTATATATTCTATTTTTATATTACCTTTTTATCAAGGTTCAAAGGATGGCTAAATTTAGATAATTATTTCAGTATACATATTGTACATGTATATATTTGCTTAATTTATCATAGGAATAAATTTAAATCTAAAATAAATTTTGTAGAAAATAGAGGAGTTATGATGGATAACTGTGACATTGGTAATTACACTTTTTAAAATATGCATTTTGGAACTTAAAAATCATAGGATTTTTTTCATTAGGACTTTGAACTTTGTATAATATTTAAATATGACATACTTTAAATTTTTTCCTGAAGTCTTTTTCTTCTTTTTCCTGCTTTTTTAGCTTCTTAGGATCTTTTTCTTCTGTCTTGGCCTTGGTTCCTTGACTAGAATGGCAGAACACACATAAAACTACATTTAGTTTCAAAAATATTTTAAAAATAGTGTGTAATAGAAGCTATTCATAAAATTAAATTTTATTTTTAATTAATTCCTTTTCTTAGAGATCCAGTACAGTCATTGTAATAAATGATGATATTTTATAATGCAGAAGTTCAAGAGAATATAGATTATGAGTTAAAATGGAAGTAAGAGATGATCTATTACATTGAACCACATGAAATCACTGAGGTATAGTTTGAATACGGTTACATATCAGTGGTTTCATATGATTCAAACTATTCTTGAACCCCCTATATTTTTCATCCCTTTCTAGAAAATTAAGTGTCTTGGCCAATGTCATAGAAAACGTTTTATTTTAAAAAAACTTAAAAAAATTAATAAATTATTTTTATTAAAAAGAACATTTTGAAAACAATGGATTTTGATGGCTTAAAAAGTTTCTATGTTATTATTTTTTCTTTTAATATCTACTTAAAGTGGAGCCACGGTGGTATCACAAAGATACCAACTGGATTAAAGTCAATTGTTATAAGAGGCGAATAAGCTGAAGATAGTGACTCTGCAGCCAGGCCACATATAAGATCACTTGGGAAGCTTTTAAAAACTACCATCGCCATTGCCCAATTCCTAGAAATTCTAATTACATTCGATTAATTTAAATTAATTTTAAATTCTAATTAATTAGACTGAATGAGATCCAGGTACAGACATATGTATTTTAAAAACTCCCCTGGTGATACTGATTTGACAGCCAAAGTTGAGAACCATCCGAGAGGGTTTAATAGGGATGTTAGGGAAGGGCTGTGAATCTCTGCAGAAGGGAATTTAAAAAATCAGTATATTTGTGAATAACGAAACATTTTTAACACTGATATTAATTTTTTATTTAGAGGACATAAGACAAAGTTTTGTTTGTAACTGATTTATTTAAAATATTTGATTCTTAATTTTTGAATCTTAGAATTTAGTTAATTCACTGTGAAATGAGACAGCACAGTAACCTGCTGAAGTTTCTTCTTCCTCCCTCAGTGCTTTCTGTCTTAGGGTACTCGGGGCAGTAGTGGAATTACTGTCCCTGATTAGCACTCTGGAATTATCAGAATGTACAAGAAAGCTAAAAAATTCCTTACAAGCTATCTTTGAAAATAATTTATTGAAACTTATTTAAAAATAGAATACTATGTTAGAGAACACAAAATTGTTTTAGACTCTGAAAAACAGTACGTATCACATAAAGTTTAATTAGCTGGGGTTTATTTTCCTTGAAGAAAAGGGCCAGTGTGTGTCTATAGGTTTCTAGAGAGCAATTTTTTGGAAAATAGTGGCATTTCTATAGTAATTTAAAACATAAAAAGGCATTAAAAACTGTCAGGGATGAAGCAACTTCCCAAAGATAAGGAATATTAAAACCTAACATATTACTAAAGATTAGATTTTCCTTTCATGGAGAACTGAAAAAGGAGACTGATTCTCCTTTCATCTTTCTTATTTGTTTTTCCTGTAGAACTTGATTTTTATATATAAATGACAGCACATTTTTTCTTCAGTTTCTTTCATCTCGATCCTATCTCTTATTCGGTAAAATGAGCTTAACAATCTTGGTAAAAATAAATACTTCGAGTTCACTTGTGCATTGTTACCAGTGCAGCTCAGAAGACATCACTTATTGTATTCCGTTTGTTACTTTCATCCTTTAATCAAGTCCAAGATCTTTTAATTTGCCTTCTTTTTTTCTTGAAAAAGTTAGAGAGGTATTCCTGGTTTTTTACGTGGTATGTGTCATGAGTCTCACATACTTATTGGAATATAAAAAAGCATCCTACCGTATTGTTTCCTATTTCAAAAGTTTTCAAGTTACTCTTTTCGTGTTAACTGATTTAGATTTTCTTACAATTTTAGGCTAAATTTAAATTGACACCTTAGCTCAGTTAAAGAATGTCGCTATTTACCATTGACTTATTTTTTTTTTTTTTCATTAGAATGGAACCTTTGGGAAACTGATGCTTATAGGAAGAAGAGACATTCTAGAAGTCCTGTTAAGAAACAAATCCTCATCTTTTTCTTAAAAGGAAAAAGTCTTCTTGTGGAGGACAGAAAAAGCTTGAACAAGGTGGTGAAGGCTGAGATATAAACTAAGAAGTGTATTCAAGACAAAATGGTTTTTAGAAAAGAGTAAGAGTAAAGGGAAGAGATGAATCAGTGAGAGTAGTTGTGCTCAGGCTGTCAAATACTTTCCCAGTGAATAAATGAACGGATGAATGAATGCTGACATCAGTGAGTAACAGGGCAGAGGATATTCAGGAAACAAGGAGCAGAACCCCTGGAAGAGGGGGAGGACAAATGAGTGTGGAGAGACAAGGAAGAGGAGGATCAGGACTATCCACTCACAAACCTGACAGAAAAGTTAGAGCAGAAATCAGGGAGAAGAAGACAGAGTGAACATGATCTCACATAGTAGATACACACCCTACTGGAGTTTTATTCTAGTTGAATTTTCTTGAGCAGCCTGATTTTCATTACTTCATTGTAATGAGAACATTTTAATTACCTCATCTCTGCTGAGGGACCAGGGATATCAGAAGCATCCACATCATCATAAACCTCCTCTCCCACATCTAACAAAAAACAAAACAGCAAATATTGAAACACTATTAGTTCATATTTTGATACGATGGGTTTAAGACAAAGATTGTTTCAAGGATTAAAAAAAAAAGTTTCCTTGTGGTCTTTGTACATTTCTCCTGGAAGCATTGTCTGTTCCTTAAAGGGGAGAGGTTCTTATCTCCTTGTGTACTCTAGTTAAATTTATCTCAAGAAAACAGTGACCATGATTGTAATTATCATTATAAGGAAACAAAACAAAACAAAACAGTGACTGAGATTATTTGACAATTCACAACTGTGATGAATGGCAGGATTAGTAGATTGCTGACAAACAAATCAACATTGTTGGTCACTGGCAGTAGGCAGTAGAGATTAAAATCAAGATTCTTATGTGATTTAGGGTGCTATGATAATATATATGATTTTATTTATATGTCTATGTATATGTCTATATATCATCTATCTATCTATCTATCTATCTATCGATCTATCTATCTATCTATTTATCTATCTGTCATCTATCTATCATCTGTCTACTTGTCTGTCTTGTCTGTCTATCTATCTATCTATCTATCTATTTATCTATCTATCATCTATCTATCATCTGTCTACTTGTCTGTTTTGTCTGTCTATCTATCTATCTATCTATCTATCTATCTATCTATCTATCTATCTATCTATCTATCATTTCAATCTATCATTCTCTTTTACTCACTGTTCTGTTCCTCATTAATTTTTACCTTATAGTAGTATTAGGTGTGGCACCACTTTAAAGTGAAAAGAATATTAATAAGACACTTCTAATACTAGTAGATATTGAGAATCAGTATTGGTGGAAAAGTTGCTATGACCTTAACTGGGTCAAAAGTTTCCCAATCTACAGTTACTTCTCCTCTTCCTAGACGTCTTGTTAATAATGCTCCCCAGCAAATTAAGCTGAAGTGATAAGTTGAAGAGAATACAAATGTTTTAAGTACTATTATCATAGAAATTTACATGCTTTCTGGTAGTGGCAAGGCTTTGATTTCCTTTAAAAACTCTCCTCTCTCTGTATGTACGTATAAAGTTCTCTTCCTCTCTCCCTCCACGCCCCAGTCAGGTTAATTAATTTCACAGGATAAAACTTGCTCAGCTATATGAAGAATTCATAATACATAAGTAGAAAAAATGACAAATTATTGATTTCTAAATAAAGAAAAATTACTATTGCATACATGTGCACTTAGAACACATGAGAACAAAAGAAAATTAAAACAGAAAACACATTTTTTACTTTATTGATCACATTTGTTACATTTTATACCTACTCTTTGTGGAACTAAGTTTCTTGAATATGTTTTGAAAATTATAGACCAAGAGACAAGCTCATCATTATTTATTGATAAATTTGAATTTAGTGCCTGACATATTTTTAAAATTGACACTGAAAACAAAGTAAGATAAACAACCTGAGAGAATAGATTTTCTTTGTATTTGGTGTGCTTTTAAATTTTATTTATAAATTAAAATAAAGTTTCTAGAGCCCAAAATATGCTTGTGAGACATTTTATTTTGTTTAATTAATTAAGAAAAAAAAATTAAAGGTCTGTCTTAGCATGGGTAAAAACATAAGCAGATTAAAATTGTACAAAGAAGAAACTGTTTCACATTTACTTTCAGAGTTAGGACTTTAATCAAGATATAGTGATTATATCCAATGCTTTCCCATTACACTATCTGCAAGAAATGAGATATATAATATACGGTTTGTTTTTAATACTTACCCAATTGTTTAGGAGGAGAAGGGAAACTGAAAAGAAAATGAAAACACAGTTACAATCAGACCAATATAAACACAGAAATCAGTCCATTTAGGAGACACATTAACAAGTAACAGCCTAGAGGCTCATAAAGGCTAATTAATCTGTTGACTATGATTCCTTTCTCATCCTCCATTTCTCCACTAAGTTCCAGTTTCTATCCGTCAATTTGGAATTTAGCAATATTTTTTTGAACTCTGACGTTGGCCAAAAAAGTCAAGAGTCAAGCCATTCAGTGGTTTGTTTTGCCCGTGACCATTGGAACAATGTTTTCAGATTTGTTCTGTGAAATTTGGATATATTGTCACACCAAAGTAAACTAAATGGACTCAATATTTTGGAGTCATTGTGGCATAGCTCTCAGGTCCAAAACTATTTATTTGACTCAAAGAGTAGATATGCAGAGTAGAAATTAACAAAGGTCATAGGAATCTTTATATGACCATGTTTCCCCAATATACATATCCCAAAACAGGAGAATGGTGAATAAGAGAGGAATATTTACTGAAAAAAAGTCAAGGAGAGCTTATTAATAGAAGTGATCTGAAATCAGGATCGGGTGGCATTTAGTTGCAACAGAAAAAAACCTTTGTTTTTATTACTTTCTGAACTTTAAGCACACACACACACATCACTGGAAGAATGGTACAGTTATACAAAAGTGTGAGAGATCATTAGTTCAAATGATCCAAAATCAGAATTAGGTTGTGTGCAATTGGAGCGGAAAAAATAATCTCTGCTTTTATTTCTAAGTAAGGACTATATTAATGAATAATGCATCAAGAGAAGATTTGTTATTTGTTAGTTATGATTTTAGTGTCCTTTTACTAAGTATCATTTTAGTGTCTCACAGAAGGTACCAGCTAACATGATTATAATCCTTCAAATTTATATGTGCAGAATATATACTAAATTATGTTGGGTTATGTTAGGATGGAAAGAGAAAATTCATATATTAATTTTTATTTAGACTAACTGAAGATATTTAGAATTAATTTAGTAGAGGATAAATATATAATTCAAATAGAATATGTCGCTATTGTGGAAGAGAGTTCAAAGACTTTAAATATTGCATTTAGAGAGAAGAGATTCCAAATTGTGTCCTTGATTTCTAGCAATTAATTTTTAATAGAGTATTTATAGTTTGAGGAGTAGTCAATATAAAATACTATATAATAAAATGTGGCATTGGAATTGTAAGTTTTTATATGTGATGCTATAGTTGAAAAAAGTCCTATTAAGTGGAGTGCGTGTATGAGTGTGTGAGGGGGTGTGTGTGTACATGGATGTATGCGTGTATGTGTTTGTGCATGTTTATAGGGAAAGCAAAATACATCTTTGAATCATATAATGGTTTTTAAATACTTTGTGCTCCTCTGTAAATGCATGAGTTTAAGGGTGAGACAGTAAATGAGTAAAAGATGACTAATGGAAAATAATATTAAAATGGTTTAAGCCTGTAGAATTTGGTTATTGGTTATAAAATATTAGTAGCATTTCATTAATTTGATATTAGTGTAGTTATTGTGCACTGAATTTGTTTGGTCGACTCTTACAATGAACCTTCATTATTGTCTGACTCAGAGACTTTAGGTTTCTCTCGTATACTTTTCTTTTTGTCATCTTTTCCCTTTAACATCTTCAAAATCCCCCAGGACCATGAGTTAATCTTCTCTTCAACCTGTAACGTGGAGCTTAGGAGCATGCAGGCATTGATCAGAATGGAATAGTCAGTGGAACATGAAGACATTGGGTGGACATTCAGATTTCTTCTAATTATACTGTACTGATCATTTAGGCAGTAAGTTACTCATTATATTCAAGAAGATGATGCTATAAGAATGTTGCTATTAGAATGGTCTGTGAATGTTGCTGTTACTAGGTAAGTAGTAGGTAAGTTATTATTATTTTTTTCTATTTAGTAAGATTTCTCTTGGTTCTTAAAATAGCAAACTAAGTCGGGATTAACTTTTAAACATCAATTTAGCTTTATTTTATGATTAAAATTAAGTAATTAACAGGTCTTAAAATTTTTAAATATGCTGTTTTAAAAGTTTAAACAATTAAAGGGTTAACTAGTCAGTACTAGTTTTGCCACAGATAGCATGTGGTCTCAATTTATTTGGATTTTCTATTACTATGATTATTACACAAAGGATAGCCATGCAGCTGATAAACTCTCCAGAGATTGTTGTAAAAGTAAATCATTGATTGATAAATAAATGGTTGGGAGAAGTTTGGAAAAAAAAAAAGAAACTACAACGCCTGTAATTCTGTATCCCTTTTCATTTCATTTCTTGTGACATAGTCGTTGAGGTTCTTCTAAACAACACACCCCTTTATTTGAAGTGTAATGTAATTACACTTCCTGATTTACTACTGCTTTTAATCAAATGTTTAAATCATTTTTGGTGATGTAATAGGGAACACTATTTTCTACTTTTTATTAGAAATCAAAACTAAATTTTAGTATAAACAATAATTTGCAATAAGGCAATTCACTGATTATTCTTACCCATCATCAGCATGTTCCTCTTCAATCCCATCATAAATATCATCTGGGGGAGGTGGGAACATCCCTTCATTTGGATTAAGAGAGAGAAATCTGTTAATTTTATAATTTGGTCATATAATAGCCACTGAAAACTCAGTAATAAACCTGTCTTATTTAACTGCAGAAAATATCCCTCTTTCATAATCATTGTTTAAATAAAAAATAACTTTATTTTCCCACTCTCACCTAGATAGTAGGTAAATTGTTTTGTCAAACATTTCATAGGGAATTCTTAGAGGTGAAATGTAATAAAGATATGAAGGATAATAAAAGATACTGTTCACTGGAGAAGAAAGGAATGAGTAGAATAAATATTAGAAAAAAAATTGAATAGAGAATAGACTTAAATATTTATTGTGGAAAATGAAAAGATGAGGTGATAAGAAATACTTAATGGTGATAAGACATTTAGAAAAATATATTGATCAAGATATAAGTAAATAAAAGCAAATAGAATAAAATGTGACTTTGTAAACATTGATAGTTGTTGAAACAAATTTTTCAGTTTTTAAATATTGTTTCATCAAAGTGATATTTTTAAAGTAAAACCCTTTCTTGTTTGAGTTGTTACCCTATAACTTCTCAGGAACCTTGCTATTTGACAAATATTTATTTAGCAAGTGTTTATTGAAAACCTTCTCTATACAATGAAATCTGACTTTTAGGATGAGAATTTTAGCACTGCAAAGTGTTAGTAAAATTTCCTTGCTTTGTTGATGAGAAAACAAGGGGTCTTTAGGAGTCATAGCTAAAGTAACCATGTAAATTATCATCCAAACAAGATACTTCTGAAGGCGAAGGGAATGCTCTTAATAATTGTCTGAGGACAATTAGCATAAGTCAAGACTGCCTTGGGCACACTGGAAGTGGAGTCACCCTAAGATCCATAACAAACTTGGAAGAAAGAAGCAACTTGCTCAGGGTCACTTGGTGACTAGGACTGGAATCCAGGTTATTGGTTCCAGTCCAGTGTTCTCTCTGTCACATTAAGATCCTCCTTATGACTTGCAAACAAAAGCACGTTGTCATTAATACACACAAAAAATGTTGAAGACTTGAAGAAACCGCTGATAAAAGTGTGTGGCTTACCTCCACTTCCACTTTGACTGTGGCTAGAAAAAGAAAAACAGAGGCAAATTCAATTAATATATGAATTATTTACCTATTAGGAAGACAAGTATATGTATTGAGCAGTTATACCAAAGAGAGATAATATTCCAGTTAAAAGTTCTCAAGATGTTACATGCGAAGAGGAAGAAAAATTGTTCTTTATCATAATACGTGAGTTGTAATAAGGCAAAAAACAAAACAAAACAAATCTAATAAGAATCAAATGAGTTTCAGTACTATATAAGTATTCAAAACCATGATACTGTTTGCTTCTAACATTTTCCCATGAAGCAGTTTTCAGATTATACATTATTCCATAAATGTACTTATGAAAAAAAAACAACCCAGTATTATTCTTGGAGTCATATAGGACCATTATTGCATTATATTCGATTCTCTTTCAACATCTTATAACCACAGTATTTTACTCTTAGTCCAGTAGCACTAATGTTTTTTTTAAAGAGAGAACTTAAAAAAAAAATGGAAATCTTATTTATGAGGCTTTTATATAGTGTGGCCACTGATTCCCTAAATCCAGATTCCCTGGATTTCTTATTTAGTTCTATAACATTTTACATTTACCCTATTTATTTTATAATCATCTGTTTCTTGCTTGTACCCACCACTGAAATGTGAATTTGGCGAGAGCAAAGGAAGTATAGATTGTGGGAATTGGAAAACCTCAGAAGTCATCTTGTTCAATCCTCTCATTTTGCAGAAAAGAAACTGAGACTCTGAGAAACTAAATTATTTGACCAAGTCTTTTTAATTAACTGAAGAGCTAAGCTAAGAACCTCAGCATCATGTCTTCCTATAAAATATTATTTTGTCTACATCTAGTTGCACTCCCTGTACCTCCATTTTTGCCTTTTGGATAATCTGTCGGCAACAGATATCAGTCTGATATTACAACCATACAGAATAATTCTACACTCATATCTGATTCCTCAATCTTCAAGTCAGATCAAAGAAATTGGTCTGACAGGGATCTATGGTTAATTTAGAAATAAAAAACACTATTGTTAATGGAACTTTATAGAAAAACAATCAATGTATCAATGTCAATATATAAATAAGGAATTGATTTTTGATGAAGTTTAAGTATATTCTTTACTTACTATTTTCACATTTGTTTTCTCTGACATTTCCTTTTGAGCATGAAGCAGAAAGTTAGAATTATGTGAAAAGTTACAATTCTGGTTGGCTGACACTCCTGGCAAATAGATTCCATCATGAAGATTTTCATACCCAATTCCCAAAGAACAAGGTAATAATAATCAGGAGTAAAGATGCCTGCCACATATTATTTTATTCCTAGAGCAATTCTTCAACTTCCCCAAATGATCTGTTTAGAATACAAAACATTTAATAGATGAAGTGAAGGTAAGGAGAGAAGAGTATGAGAAAAGAAGAGAAAGGAAGAGAGAAACGAAAGGATAAATGGAAGGAAAAAGGTTGAGAAGCATAAAACAGTTTGTTATGAGATGGAGAAGTGGAATTTGCATTTGGGATTTCCTTTTCTTCACTTTTCACATTTATTACAGAAATTATTTTAGTTAAGAAGTGAGAAAGACAGTTGTTGGGACCTGTGCTTTAAGTCTCCTGTCTACTCACAGAATTTGAAGTGCACAGCCAACTCTCCTTATCCTAAAGGGATCAGGAAAGAGAAGGTAAAGTGTGCAAAGGACCAGGAGCCATCTGGAGGAGGGAGGAGAGGATGGTGCCATCTCTTACTCTTGCCAGGGCAAGCTGCCTGCTACAGTCAGCATCTTTCCTTGTTCTACTAAGGACAAAGCATGTTCTGTTATGAGATCTCTGCCAGCAGCAGCTGTAGTTTCAAAAACAAAACTTGTATAGAAATTATGTCTCTTCTTTCTTTTTTTTTTTTTGTTAAATATGCATGAGAGGAATAGATGCTAGTAGATATTGTGGTGCTATACTTTAAGATATTGAACATTAAAACCATACACTTCCTCTATTCCCATTTTATTAAATAAAAGATTCTTTTCCTGCTACATATTTACTAACTCGAGTATCTTTTAGAATTGTGGTATGTATGGACTTGATAAAATGAAAAAATAATAATGTTAGTTTTGGGAAATAGTCACCTATTATGGTTAAATAATGCTTTATTTTAAGAATATCATTTCTTTTTTTGTGGATTATTTTTTCTTGAGTATGTATATCAGTGCAAATACATATTTATTAATGTAACTGGGGTCCTTTAATCCCAGAATAAGATAAATGTGGTTTTTTTTTTTAAAGAACAAAGGCTAAACATAAAGTATATACAGTGATAATATACATGGGATGACATGATCATATTCAGAAAATTCTGGAAATCTCAGATTATGGCCATTTAGAACTTCAACTGACCTCAAAATTGATATTTACTGACCCCCAAACTAGGTCAATGTGTTTTTGATCACTAACGCCAATTTACAATCAGTAAACTCCACTGTAAACATTTAGTATTTTGCTATATGTTATATAATTTAGGATCATAACATGGTAGGAAGGCATTGCAGGTTACAATTCATTTTAGAAAGACAAAACTTCCAGAAAGCAACACAACAAATTTATGACAAGAGGTAAAAGGCCACAAGAGGGAAATGTTAATTCTTTATGTCTTATAAGTATATTATTATTTTGATAGTTTTATGTTATTTAAATGGTTGATAATAAAAAGAATTTTTTCTTTGACATTTGAATTATGAAGAATGCAAACACATTTTTACCCAAAAGAAGATCGAGCACAGATTGTGTGTTTCAGGATGTCAATGAAGGATTGCCAATGCCACAATGTGGATGTAAAAAAATGAGGATTCTTAATCAGGCTGGAGATTTTCCTCTTCCTTTTCCTTCAACTTAAAGGGATTATGGCTTTACCAGGGAGGGGAGATATAGGAGGAAAAATGAATGAAAGGAAAAGGGGAATGGAAAAGCAAGAAGAAGAAAGAACATAAAAGATCAGAGCTAGGAATGGAAGACAGAAGAGGAGACATGGAAACAGAAAGAAGACTGAGAAGGGAGAGAAGAGAAGAAAAGGTGCATGAGAGTGGATGGCCACTTTCCCTTCCTGGCTCCTCCAGGAAATATTTCTTGTTCTCTTCCTCTGCCCCAGACAAGTGTTCCAACAATTCATGGGGGACAACTTCACTCTAATCTAGTGGAATGAATGGACAATGAAAAGAGTGCCCCTTAGTCGATACCCAGGGATCACAGGGAAGTGAGTTTTTACTTTCGTACTTTGAAAGAGCAAAGTGGAATTGTAGTAGAAAGCATTCTTTTTTTCTGTTTTATTTTCAAATAAGAACAAATATATTTAGACTCAAAGACTTCAGAGCAAAAAGCTTTTACACTTTTCAGAACTAAATTTCATATTTCATGCTTCATATTCTAGTCATATTTATTTCAGGCATATCTCTAAGATGAAATCAGAATGAATATTACAAAACAGCATTTTGGAATGACCACACATTTGGTAAGATCTGGCAAATGGGCCATTATATTTCAAGTAGTATTTGATACATAAAACCAAAGGATAAAATAAAAGATTCCAGAGTTTCAAATGACCTTGCACCCACATTGGAGTTACTATATATGGCAATTTAGTTTAGTGATAAAGAGCAGTAGGAAATGTGGAAGGTAAAACTTTAGGATCCTAAAATGCATAATCTGTGACAAGGAGACAGTCCGATGTGTTTTACACGTTGTTTTTGCACATACCTGCTAGCCTCATCCTGCTCTGCAACATCATCGTACACTTCTTGGTCGTCTTCAATATGTCTTGATGACAGAGGGCTGAGAGAGGTTTTTTTCCGTTTCAAGGAATCATAGTCAATATCTACAGCAGTGGTTTTAATATAGCCATCTACCAAAGGAGAACAATTTATGTTCAGATAACTGAGGTTTAAATATTTTAAAGTCATGAATAAAATATCAATTGCACATTTGCTCTTTAAAATTGTTCTTCATTTCTTTGCTTGCAATCCTGATTTATAGATTTCCCATGTAGACACACATTATACTGTACTTTGTCCAACTTTTATGCTGTTGTGGTTGGGGGTAAGCCTAGAATCTATTTTCAAGATTCCAAAGTAATTAACATGACTCATTTTTTCCTTTTAACATCAATGAAGAACCTAATGCCCTTTGTTCCTCCCTGGAGTAATATAAATATTTACATTTTTCCCCACTAAAAGATAACACAGATGAGGTGAAGATGGAGGTATACTTGTCATTTTGAATCCTCTTATCTTTGTCCACCCTGTACCATACTCTTAACTTAATGCTTATGAGTAGTTCTGAAAGAATTTGCACATCTCATTTGGGCTCAAAAACAACACCTTGAAATCATAGGAAAATTTATACTCACATGACCCCCTTGCTGTTCTGCCCAACCATTTCCCCTCAGGATTGTCTGTGATGCGGATTATTTCAATTTGCTCTCCTTGCTTGAAGCTCAGTTCATTCTTTCCTCCTTTGACATCGCAGCAAGCTTTTGCTAGGTGGATGACTTGAATAGGGCCGGTTAGCTGCAAAGAGGAAAAAAATAGTCACAACAGACTTCCTTACTATTCAAAAAACCTTTAAGGAATGCAGTTTTGAAAGACAGTATGTCCGTAACTTGCCAACCTGCCTATTTCCAACATTTACAGGTTGGAACCAGACATTGAGTATGAATGTTATTCCTGGTGAATGTTTTTATAGGAGGGGTTAGGGAAAAACCACAGGGTCAGGGAGAACAAGCAAAGAATAAGTAAGCATGTGCTTAGGGTCCAGGAGAGATTGGCAGTGATCTGTGGACCCTAGGAACTAGGAATTCTGTGAAAGGCTTGCAAAGGATTTAACTAATAACCAAATATCACTTATATATGACAATCCATGCTAGGTGCTATGTGTTTTTATGGGATATGCTGGTGATCTGCTTGGGGACGAAGGCGTTTTCCCTCTTTGCATTGTGTAGTTATTCTGATGATTCTCTGAAGCCCTAAAACAGCAAAGGGAAGGGAAGGTGGTGATGGTGGTGGTTGCCCTCTCAGGAAAAGCAGTTTAGTAATATGCCCACGATCACATAACTCACATAGACAGCTGGAATTTGAATCCACAGCTGTCCAACTGTCTAAGCTTTACATTTTCCCTGTGTCATGCTATTGAACCTTTATTTAAAGATAATAAATATACTAAGTTATATATAAATCAAATTTTTATAATTCAAACCATATATTAAATGTTTCAGAGGAATTAAATAAAGGAAACTTGATATGAATTCTTTTTAAAATGAAGAATAGTTCTATAACTCAGATAATCAATTTAAAATATAGCTGACATACCAGACCTACACCAGATGGGCTATGTCATTGAAGATGGTATAGCCCAGAGAGGATAGTCGACAAGTGCAGTGTTATTGGTGGTTGTAATAGAAGTCATACAATTAGAAACCAGAGATTAGAGAAGACATAGGTCAGAAATCCAGATAGATGACGAGGGATGAAAAACAGCAGGTATCAGAAGTCAACATAGGCTTAAAATAAAGGCAAAAATGTAAGTCAGGTCTAGACATCAGAAGTTAGAGTAGTTTATAGAAACTTTATTCTGAGACAGGTCTGGTTCATCTGGAGACACTTGTGTCCCTTGCACCATTATAATACATGCCCCAGGGATGTATGTGGTCCTAAACTCATAGCATAAGTAGATTAATATGAAATATATAATGAGAAGAGCCAAGATGAGTTTGAGTAACTGCGTATTCATTCATTCACTCAATCAACATAAAATTTCCTGGATGCCCACTAATTACAAGCCACTATAGTTTGGATTTTATCATATTACATTTTCACTGCAGGGGTAAGGAAGCGTATTGGACACACACACACACAAAAATACTGTTATGAGGATAGTTACTCCTTAGAATACAACAATTAAGTAATTCTTCAACCATGTAAGATTTCAAGAATGGTGCCCCTTTCGTGTGAAAATTTTAAAGAAAGAGAAGTTATTCTTTTTCACCCATCAGCAAGCAAGTGCTTACTTTAAATTTCTTCTTTATCTCTTGTTCTTTCTTTTCTCTCTCTTTCTGTTCCTTTTTCTCCAGCTCTAATCTCTTCTTTTCCTCCTTTTCCCTTTTCTTCTCTCGTTCTTTGGATGCTTCTCTGTGAATAAAAATTGTTAGGTTGTTTTATCATCTGCAGGCATCGATGTGATAAGGCTCACTGTTCACAGAGGTTTCTACTCACAGCAGAAGACAGTATCTGAAGTCTAGGTGAAAGTAAAAAGCCAAAGGTTGTCAAAATTCCTGGGCGTGTGAGATTGTTCATAAAACCAGTAGGAGGCATGCAAATGAGGATTCTTTTCAAAAGCCCTGCTTTCCCTTACAACTTGTGCCAACCACTGAAGGACAATGTATAAAAGCCCGGTTCTTGCTGCATATCAGCATGAATAAAATTAATCTCTCTCTCTCTCTCTCTCTCTCTCTCTCTCTCTCTCTCTCTCTACCTTACAAAGGTACAAGAGCACACACATGTGCATCCATTCAGAAACTTTAGTTAGAATTGGTCGAGGAAAAACTAGTTAGAGATATTGGGATTTAATCGAAATGAAGATATTTGAATAGACAAAAGATAAAAATAAGATGACATATTTATTTCTACCTTCACTCACTTTCCGAGAAATTTCTTAGTCCTGGGCTACCCAACCCATTTTGTAGCTATTTTTAACATTTTTCTGCTTTAGCAGGCTGAAACATCAGCATCTGATGATGTATTTCTCATAGCACCCTTGTGAGGTGGAGCATTGCATAGGTGAGGAAATTCTAACATAGATGAATTCATTTGCCAAAAGAGCAAGAAATACAGATTCTTGGCTCTGATTTCCCATCAATGATCTATCTAGAGGCAATAGCTTTTTAACAGAGTCCTCTGTAAAATCCTTAGATAGATAAAGGATCTTTAGTCCTTTGTATTAAAATAAAGGTTATCATAATATGTCAGTCGTTTGAACAATAAAGCTTTCCCCGCCCTAGTGTTGAATGTCTATTCACTCTCCCTCATACAAATCACTATATTCATCTTAGAAGAAAAATATCATGGTAAAAAAATATAACTCATACATGTCTTCATATGTTTCTCCTTCACTTTCTTCCTGTCAAGAAAATATTAATGGCAATTAATTTTAATTATTTAAAAAGGAAACATACACTTATTAATTACATTGATCAAATACTTAGTAAAATGAGTATAAATTTAAGCATACGTAAATTTGGCTTGTTTAAAATACTTTTTCATTTTAGACATAGACTGGGAAAGTAAGCATAAAAAGATTTCATTTTATATCCTGCTGTATAATTCAGATATGTAGCCAGACTTAAGTTAATGTTCAGTGCTAAAAAATTACCGAGTCAGTGTAATGATTGGTATTTAATGTGTCAAATATTTTTGATGATATAAGATTATAAATGGAAAAATATCATCTTTACTCATAAGAATTTTCACTTCTTGGTTTATAGCAATAGAAAATTAATCATAATAATTGTTATATATTCTAGTTACAGCAACATAATATGAGAAGGAAAAAAACTGACCTCATTTAGATTTCCAGTACCTAAAGGAGTTAAAAAAAGAATAAAATTTAATGTAGTCTAATTGAGAAGCACTTTAATATAGGATTATTAGGTGTAATATAATATTCAAAACAGTTCATAATATAACAGCACTTATGCTTTATCAAAGATATAGAAGTACAAAATAGAATACATAGTTTAGATACTTACTATGGTTTTTTGATAGTTGTAATTTAATTATAAAATCATTTCATTGGCTTTCATAAGATAATGAAGACACCCTTTCTTCTCTTTATGAAAGGCATGCACATTTGCTTTTGTGGGCTTGTCTGGAACAAGGCTATTATCAGAAAATCACAACTAGTTTGCATTTTTTGACTTATTTGTTCCCAAAGATTTTTCTTTCATATATCAAACAAGTCAAGTTAATAAGATTTTTAAACAAAATATTTTACTGCTCAAGTATTTGATAATATAAACTAATCACCAAATATTAAGACATAATCTAAAACAACAATAAGACAAGTATGTGGTATTGATATAGAAACAGATAGACCAATAGAATAGAGAGCTCAGAAACAGATACATAAATTTACATACACACATATATACACACACATAATGCACATACAAACATACGCATAGAGTTGATATAATATAAAGGTAGCATTATAAATTAATGAGAAAATGATAGATTTCAAAATATGGTAATGGGAAAACTGGCTCCATACATGAGCTATAAATCTGGATTTCTAACTCCTCAAAGGTAGACTGTAAAGAGATCATGGTCCTAAATATAAGGGCTAAAGTTCATAGAAGAAAATAGATGATAATATTTTTATTTCCTAGGGATAGGACTTCTTCAATAAAACTTAGAAAGCATAAATTACAAGGTAAAATTTAATGATTTTGATTGTATTAATATTTATTTATGTTCAGTGGAGGACTGAACTTAACAGCATGGGCTAAGTAGACAATGAACAGGAATTAATATCTGGAATACAAAGGAACTCTTGCAAGTCAACCAGAAATGGATAACAACACATAGACAATGAACAGGAATTAATATCTGGAATACAAAGGAACTCTTGCAAGTCAACCAGAAAAGGATAACAACACCTAGAAAAAAATGGTCAAAGAATATAAACTGGCAACTTACAGAAGAAGAAACAAATGCTAATAAGCAAATGTGGTACTCAGACTCAACAGTAAGCAGAGATATGAAAATGAAATGAGTTGTCATTATATATATGTGTCATTATATATCTATATGACTGGAAGCAATTGGAAAGCTGAATACTACCATGTACTGGTGAAAGGTAGGCATTTTGGAATCTTCATGCCCTGCTGATGGAGTATACATAGATGTGGATCTTATGGAGAGCACTCTAGTCCTACTCAGTGAAAATGAATATTCCATAACTTATGAGCAGCCATTCCACTGGTCTCTCAAGGTCCACACGGGGGTATGGACAAGAAGGTGCATTGAATGATTTGTGGTACCTAGTGAGTTGGAGGTAAATGTGAATGCATAAGATGCATATCATGGAGTACTTAGCATGTGTACCATGAAGTACATACCATAGAGTAGTTGTGCAGTTAACAGCAATAAATGAAATATAGCACATACAGCAACACAAAAGGCCCCACCAAAATCCATTATGTTGAATATTAAAAAAAAGATCAGAATGAGCAATAACATGCTTTTTATGTAAATTGAAATATATACACATATGCAACAGTATGAAAACAATATGTACAAACAGGCACAAACACATTAAATATGTTAGAATATTTGTCTCTGATAAGGGGAAGAGAGAAAAAGGAGTGGGTTATGGAGATAAGAAGGAATAAATAAACAAAATTAGAGAAAGGTCTTGCATGGACCAATGATGATAACGACCCATTAATAACTCTATGAAAATGATTAACTTAAACTTCCCTATCTGAGATAACGAAAGATAAATAAAGCATATTTTGCCCCTTACCATTAGAATGCATGATATCATCTTGATTTTCTTCATTTTTAGGGCTTCTGGAAACAAGAAAGAAGAAAAAGTGAAAATGGAACAATTAGATGCTCACCTTATAATAAAAAAGAAAAATAATAAAAGGATATTTTAAAATATGATTCTTTTCTCTTTAATATCTTCTCTGATTTAAAACTTCAGACATGATTAGAATAGGCTTTAGCCTTATATTTATGCTGCTACTGCTGTAAAAAATGAAGAATCATAGAGCTTGAGTATAGCCCTGTCCATTCATAGTGAAAACATATAATTAATCCATTGTTTCAGGGCAGTAATATGTTTTTTGTTAAAATAGCAGTACATCAATAATTTAATTCTGGGATTCTGAAGGCATTTGATTGGTTTTGTGATATAGACACCAAAGGGAATTAGTTCCAATCCTTGACTTCTTCCTTTATTCCAAATGTTCTCCACCTGGCTTGATTCCCATCACTTGTGGCTTGGGCTCCAAGCCACTTCATTCCAAACCACGTCGCCCAACTGCTCTTAATGGTTATCAATACCTGGGCCCTGCAAATCCCTAATGATTTATGGAAACCTCTATATTTTCTACTTCTATTTTCAGATTGATTAGCATAGCTGGAGAAAATTTGCCATTTTACTGATTCTAGATATTATAAACAATTGGCATTCAATCTCAACTGCACCCTCTATACCGTTCCATGTCTCATTACACTTCTTTTTTCTAGTCAACACTCTTGCATCAGCCGTCTTGATGACTATTCAACACCTTCACTACTTTCCTCAAGTCTCCTATTCCTCTTCTCTCGCCTATAAACAGATGATCTTGTTTCTTATTGCATTGATAAAATAGCAATTAAATGTGAACTTTCTTTAAAAAATGCATTCTTTTAATACACACACTTATCTACAGTTATACTCATCCTTACCTTCTCCCTGCCAAAATTCTTTCTACCTATGTTCTGAATCCTACCTGAATTTTCAGTGACTTTACTCCTTTTATTTCATTTCTTCTGTGTATCATCTTATTATTTATATTATTATTATCCCTCTTCTTTCACTCCCCATCCCTAATATCTCACTCTGTTTTCTTCTTCGGCCCAAGTTATTCTCGTTCATTAAAAACAAACAAAAACCCCCACTTCTCTGCCTTTCTAAACCCTCCCCATTGCAACAAGATAATCTTCCTTTTCCCAGCCAAGTAGGAAAATGTGCCTATACTCACTGACTTTACTTCCTCTCCTCCCACTCATTTCTTCATTGACAACAATCTGGCTTCTATTGCCAATCCTTTACTGAAACTATTCTGAAAAAATAGTTTCTATTCTGATCTTAATTACCAGATCCACTGGATACCTCTCGACCTGCATCTGACTTGATTGCTTTGGGGCCCTCAATAGTATGGACCATTTTGCCTTCCTTGAGTCGCTTTTGTTTCTATCACAAATCTCTCTTGTTTCACCTCTTGTCTCTCTGGCCACTATCCCACAATTTCCGTTGTGGGTTTACTTTCCTCTGACTTCCTCTTTAAATGATGATGTCCATTTGTGTTCTGGTCTTGGCTTTCTTCATTTTTTTTTTTTTTTCCACTCTATATCTGTTCCTGAATGGTCTCAAATACTCCCACAGCTTCACATACTATCTTAATGTTGGTGACTTTCATATTGCAATCTCTAACTCAGGCCTCTTTTCTGAGTTTCATACATAGTTACAGATCTATCTATAACTTTATCTATCTATCTATCTATCTATCTATCTATCTATCTATCAATCATCTATTTATCTATTATTACTTAAATGTCCCACACCTATCTATCTATCTGTCATCTATCTATTTATCTATCATTACTTAAATGTCCCACAACCTATCTATCTATGTCATCTATCTATTTATCTTTCATTACTTAAATGTCACACAACCGGTTCTAAATTAACATCTCAGAAGCTGAGATTTCTCTCTTCCATCCCAGCCTAAACTTGTTTTTCCGACTGGGTTTCTTATCTTGAAATGGCACCACAATTCGCATATTCACCTAAGCTCCAAGTCATTCTTTACTTCTCACTCTTTTTCAGTCCTAAATCAAATTAATCAAGTTGTCAGTTCTACATACTTAATGTCTACTATAATTCACTTTCCCACTCTCCTGCTAGACGCAAGAACAGAATCACATCATCTTTGTGTGGAGTCTGGAATTAGCCATCTGGCCAGTCTTCCAGTAACAAGAATGCTCTGTATCTTTGCCACCTCACAGTCCCTTCTCCACACTGCTACCAAAGTGATCTTTCTAACACACAAATAAGATTATACCACTCTTATATTTAATACTCAAGCCACTTAAAGAATTAGGAAAGACTATTACTTGAACCCAAGGGATACTGGTTGCAAAATTAACCCTATTTAAACAACGTGGGCTGGAAGTGCCTTATTATCACTGAGACCATAAAAAGGGCTCAGTGGGTACACTTGTGGCTTAGGGAGAATTGCCATGGACGTGTGTCTCAGCCTCTACCTGAGATGGTAAACATGTGACCATAAACTGTTAATCTAATAAACTCACGTTTTTTAAATTGAAAAATTTAAATTTAACTTCTATATGCATAGCTTTCTGTGTAGGTAAGAGTAAAAGCTCAGTTAGATTAGTCATGACAAGGCATTTGTTTCTCTTAGATAGCCTTTCTAGATCTTGGAAGATTCAGAATTAAATACAAAAATGATGGAGTAATTCAAACACAGGCACAAAAATTTTTAGAATAAGTTTTATAATCATTAGGACAATATACATATGTTCAATATTTTAAGTATTTGTAATATTTGAGATTTGTTATATCAGAGAATATTCAGTTACATGTGTTACATCATTTTAAAATTTGTGAGTTACACTTTTTTATTTCAGTTGGAAAGGAAGGACTCTAGATATTGTCAGTGGCTGCTGACATCATGAGAGTCAATCAAACATTATGTACATAATCAAACATTATGTATGCCTAATAAAAGAATACAGCATCACCCAGAATGAAGTCATACATACATGCACACACACATTTTGATCAAGCTGCTTCTATATCCAACTACCAATTTACAAGAAATACAGAGAAAAGAAAAACACATAAACTATATTGTAGGAAGGCAATCAGCAAAATCTAGACTGTGGGCAACTATAGTGCCCACAAACAGCTTGATTTGTTTAACAAATAAATTGCAATAAATAATAAAAAAGAAGGTAGATGGTGAACTTGTAGCTTAAAAGAGAATTACAAAACATATAAGGCAACAAAGACATTAGACTTTGAATTCTTATTCAAACAAACTTAAAAAAACACACACACGATTAAAAAGACAACTGGAAATTTGAACAATGGCTTGACGTTTTATATACATACAGAGAGTTTGTTTTCAGGGGCCTACTGAAATATTTATGGATGAAATTATATAATGTTTGGTATAAGTTTCAAATTAATATAAGAAGAGGGATATGTGGGAGGGAGCATAGATGAAATAAGATTGGTAAAGGGTTTATAATTGTTGAAGTTGGTGAAGTGGACATGTTGGCTCATTATATTATTTTCCTGTCTATTATATGCTTAGAAATTTCCAAAATAAATATGCTTCTGAAAAGTATTAAAAAAATCCAATTGCAAAATTAGAATATTTAAGGTAACTGGATGATGTTTGATAGATTTATGAGTCATTTAAGTTCTTGGAGGGTTTTGCTTAGCAGAGTTATTAAGTTTGTTCAATCGGCTATTTGAAATGCTAAAAAATAAAATTCAATATATAAATCTATATATGCAATGTAAAACATGTAAAGGAATTAACTAAATTTATAAATATAACCTGATTTGAAAGAATTTAGTATGAGTCGTCTAATCATTAATCAAAGATCCCCCTAAAAATAATTATTGTTACTTAAATAAACCTTACTACATGTATAATAGGATAGCAAGTTATATTGTGCAAATTTAAGTATTTAAAAGAAATTAGGCCTTTGCATAAACTTTAATGAATTAAATGTTAATTAAAAGCACAAAGTATAACTATCTTAGACATCTAAATATGCTGACATTCTATAGAATAAAATCTATAACCATTTTCTTGGTATACAAGGCTTTTACTATCAGCCTTGCTCTTTATAGTTTTATGTTTCTTCTTCAATTATTTTTTCTTCTTCTTCCATTATCTTCTTTTCACATATCGATAGTGAATGTACTCTCTGAATATTCTCTGGTTTCTTTTTCTTCCATACTTACCTCTGCTGTTTCCCTTATTATACCTACCTATGGCCATCCTTAATCTTTAAGTTTCTCCTTAAACACTCCCTCTGTGAAGTTATCCTCGACTTCCCCAAGCCCACACAGTTGTATCTTCTATATGTTGTACATTGCTCCATTATAGTGATTATTCTGCATTGCTACCATTATGGAGTAATTGATGCCTGTTTCTCTTACTGCTATGAGACCATAAGCCCCTTGAGGAAGTTAATTGTCACTTCATTAATTTATTATTATGATAGTCATTTTTTGAAAGCAATGAGTAATTCCTGTCATGTATAGGACTTTTTTAGATGAATTAATGATATCCTAGTAATGCTAAGAAGCTAAATTAACTTTTATTACTAAAGTAATTTTTCTATGACTATTTTTGAAAAAGAATATTAAGTCAAAGACTACCAGACTTGCAGTTTACTTCCTAATACACTTGGATGAATAACAAATGCTAGCAAAATGAAGGCTATCTGCACATCACATTTATACATGTGTCTACATTTTTATGCAAACCATTTATTACTTGTAGATACTGTTTGCACGAACACTTTATTCATGGACCCAATGTTATAGTATATAAATCTTAGTTTACATTAAAGTATTCAATAAACATGAAATGGTGATAAGAACAGAAATGATAGTAAAGAATAAAAGGGGAAAAGATGAGGAAAAGAACTAGGTGAATGCTATAAATAAATCCAGAACAAAGTGTCACTAATTGCTCAAAAGAAGTGTTCCAGACATTGAGAAAAACTGCATAGAGAGATAAAGAGACAACAAT